TCGTAATTTTTCGTCTTCCCATTTTCCTTTGTGCGCTCGTCCTTAGTTGCGGGCGTGCGCCTAAAGGCGTGCGTCTTTATCGGGCTTGCAGTGCACGCACTGATCTATATATTACCGATATTTAAATTTGATCTATATAGAGGAGCCTGCGGAGGAGGCAGCACCCCTACTATTTAGCTGAATCAATAGCTATAAAATAAAGTATTTTTCGAGCAGTTGCTGTGTAACATATAGTATTGCATAAGTTGCACTATTGCACAAATTAGTAAATTGACACTTTAATGTTAATGTTGTTAGACAGTTAATGAGGGATTTCCCCCCAGACAACGCTTTATGTAAAATATAAACTATAATATTTTACTTTTTAAACAATATTAACAAAATAAAAAAATGAAACTTATAATCGCATGCAGATGTCCAAAAAGTGTTACTTTTGAGATTTTTTGATGCCATTTTTGTACCTTTAGAATTCTGTTAATCTTCTCCCAAAATGCAGGAAATGGCATTCCAGAGACTCCAGATTTAAAAATTTTCCGAGGGGGGCATGCCCCCCAACCCCCCTAGGTTGCCAGCCTACAGCAGTTGGCAGGATAGCGTCGCAACATTGCTAACTACTTTCCGCAGCCATGTCAAATGCTTAGTATTTGTTCTGTTTCACTCTAAAAGCATTGACAACAGGTCCCTAGTTCAGAGCTAGAACGTCAACACTTTTGCGCGCCATTTTTTTATACTGGGTATTAAAATTAGGTAGCACTCTAAACTTAATTTAACGCATAAAAAAGATAAATACTGAATACATAGCATACCTTCCTTCATTTCAGAAGAAACGAGGAAACCCAGAGGACGAAACCTATGAACTTTTATTACTTTTGCAGTCGAATTCGCACTTTCAACTTTCAATTTTCAACCATAGTTTCAACACTATATAGTGATGGGCGATACCGAGTACTCGGTATTCGATACCAGCGATACCACAAACAGCGGTATCGGTATCGATTACTGACGTGGTATCGTTCGATACTTGCACCCTTTTTTAAAAGACTGGTTTATTTATTTTCACGTCTTGGTTGAACTTAATGAGTTCAGACTTAATGAACCACGAATTAACTCTTAATATTCCAAATGTGGTGCGCCAAGTCATGTATAGAAAATATTTATTACGTTTCGGACTTTTGGTTTACTTATAGCTTTATTTAGGTTACATACAGTAATGTAAAATGTTTTTCCGCTGAGCGGCAGGTATCGAAAGTAGCCGATACTAGCAATTTAAGTATTCATTTCCGGTATCGAAAATTGATATTTTGTGTTCATTTTGGTATCGAAATAGGTATCGGTATCGGCCGATACCGATCTTGAAAGTATCGGTATCGAATTAAAAATCCTGGTATCGCCCATCACTAAGCACAATTATCAGGTGACCTTGAGAGGTCTGGGTGTAGTTGCGTGTTTATTTCGTGTTCGTGGTACACGCGAGAACAACACACTTTGTGAAAATTTGTGTCATGCAGTAATTTTCAAACACTCTTACAACTAGCCTGGGTAGCAGTCGCTTTATTTTGTTGAAGGTTTTGAGGATTTTTTATTTTAAAAAATCTTCAAAATCTTCAATAAAATAAAGCGCCTGATTGCAACAGCAATCAATGTTTTAATCGCAATAATCCAATATGTACTTTGAGGTATAGAATCTGAAATCTTATATTTTCTGCCAACGGCTTTATATATTTTTTATTAAAATAACAACAACAACTTTACTCTTTAGTTTGATTCAGTCATGTACTGCGCAAGTGCACATTCAAGTATTTAACAAATGTCTGGTGTTTAAATACTCGTGGGAATTCCTTTGGGAAATAAGCTTCAAATATATCATGTTGCCTAACTAAAATCCTCTATCATGCCATAAATCCTCTATTAAAGTATCAAGGTTAATACATAAGCTCAAGTCTTAAACAGTCCTCCGATCCTCTGTAATTTAATAAATCCCCTTTTCTGTTTGTTCTAGACAGGGGTCGCCGAATCGTAGTCAATAGAATGAGAAGGTTATGGAACTCGATGCAGACGTAATAGACCTCATTATCTATGTTGGTTTATGCAAGAAATGGTTGGTTCATCATCAGGTGTGTATTGACTGTGTTGTATTTTCACCACAGCAACCAATACTCCAATAGCTATGTTTTCAATTAACCCGATTGTGTAATATCACGACTGGGTAATTAAACCAACGCGAATTTGTTCGCGCGAAAAACAAATTTCGGCAATATGATTGGACAGCCAAAAAATTCGCCGCGAAAAAGTTGCATCAGTTCCTACTTTTTTACTTGTCGCGACCTTCGCGCAAACAAATTCGCCCAGTGGAAAATGGACTTGACGATGAACCGACCATTTGTTGCATAAACCAACTTAGATAATGAAATCTAATATGTCTGTATCGAGTTTCCTAACTTTAATCTATTGACTATGATCAAATCTTCGGTCATATATGTCACGTGTATACATGTATACGCCAATTTCTGTTTTCCATATGGTCGTAACGGTCGTAAAGATTGAGTCACGATCTTTCTCGTCAGCCGAAATACAACATTTTAGAACTGAAAATACGCGGAGTGATTATAACTAGAGAATACTTATGATTTATATGTGGTTTACAGGTAGAAACTATTATAAACTGGCCGTCGAGAAAGATCGTGACTCTATTTTTACGACAATTACAACCATATGGAAACCAGGATTCAGGACAAATGTCGAAGTATCCAAACCGGAGTACGTTATAAGGAGCTTGAATTTTTTTACAATTTTTAACCTATTTTCCTTTAATTAATACTAAAACGAGACCCACATATAGCCAGACCCTCTGACAGGAATCAAACCTGCGACCCTTAAGTGGCATGAATTTCCATTTAGAGCTCGACAACTTGACGCGTTTCTTCAAACGATACAAAACATTGCGCTAGAATTATTAGCGTGACACTTAGAAACGTTACTACTTTATACATCTTTGAAAAACTTGATTATTTTAATGATTTTATAGAGTGTTTTGTTTATAATTGTGTCAAATAAAACTCGTGTCTCGTTCGAATTATGGGGCTCAACCTCAGCCCCCATGGTGCGCCCCCCCCCCCCTCCCCCATTCAAAGTCCCTTTCCTCTAAAATATAAGCAAAACATTGTAAAATGGAATTTAGAAGGGAGGTAAATTTTATACTTTTAGTAACGGAACCTTGCTTTGTGAATCTGTCATGTCTTTTGTCTTCAAATGATTCAATGTCTTTTAAGAATGCTAAACATTGTTTTGATGTTACTCTGAATGTATATCCACACCGGAAATACCACTGACTCGAACAGACTTGGCCTCGTAGCTCAGTTGGCAGAGCCATTCGATTAGTATCCCAAAGGTCGCGGGTTCGATTCCCACCGTGGTGAGGCTAACTTTTCAGCCTGCCCGGTGTGGATATACACTCAGAGTAACATAAAAAAACATTATATTCACCTGAGTACATAACATCAAAACACACACAAAAAATATCGCTAATCATTGTGTTGTAAATACGTACCTTAATAGATTTTCAAAATTTCCCATTGGATAGCATATCCCAGACCCTATAGATTTGAGTTGTTAGAAGGCTAGGCTAAACAAGTTAGTGACTGAGTTGTACATAAACATGCCATGCAATTACTTAACTGAAGATTCAGTCTGTCTGTAATATACAGTCAGTGTAACGCTGTATATCCAACACAAATTAATGTTCTGAATTCTGATAACGCACCGAAATGCAGTCATAGGGATGGAAAAACAGGAAACTAGTTTCTAAAAAAGGCCCTAGTATGGCAGACATTCTAATATTCACTCACAAATTGCTCCAACGAAGGTCAAGTGACAATTTTCGCAAATAAATGATAAACTTTGGAACAGAATATATCTGTTTATAGCAATTTCCCTTAGTCCAATGCCAAAGAACGATTTATCATTTGTGCTGCTTTTTAGTTTTGCCTTTTGGTCATATGTCGCATGCGTTACGAGCCAGTCCTATTCACTCGCAACAAAGAAACCAATGACTTTCAATGATATATTTATTTCTATTTTTCTTTCTTAGGGAAGCGTCACATCGATTTTGTCCACGAAAAACGTCACATGGATATTCTGGAATCATCTACAAAGTACACAAACTCCAGTATTTTCGTAAGTGTATTTATATTTTAAGTCTATTTGTTATTGTATGTCGATAATTAGGTCCTGGCCTTGCCGGCAATTCGAAGATAAGGGTTCTCAGTTATGTTGGGGACAGGGCTTGGATGAAGTACCTAGATTTAGCCAAGCAACACATCCGGCGAAATAATAGTGTACTTTCATACACAACACTCAATTTTAAAGTCTGCAAGATAAATAATGTTTCGGGGGCAACGACAGAATCGAAAACAGTGTGTGACGTTTCTAAAGCGGGGGGGGGGGTTGTCTCCAGAGGGACGTCCATAGGACGTTTCTCGTGGACAAAATCGATGTGTGACGCTTCCCTTATATATATTGCTCAATAATTAGCGTTTGCAACTTTCCTTAATATCTATATATAATGCTTAATATTCGTTGAAACTTGTCTCATTTCACGACTGAGCAAGACTGAGTACAACTCTTCAATTCATGACAATTCTTTAATAACTTCGTCTTTGTCTTTGAACATTCCTTTTAATTCTTTCTTTAACTTATAATTTCTTTATTATTTGCGGCTTTCTTCACTGCGTTGCTACCATCAGGTTTTCACCTTATGAATAATACATGAATTGTCTAGTTGTGCTCAGGCTTTTATACGCTCTGCTAGGGGAAGAAAGTACAAAACTACGACTCGTTTTCCCTATACGCAATATAGTTCGTTAATTTCAAGCAAGTTTCAGCAAACCACAAATCGTCCAAAGCCACGCCGAGTCATGTCCGCTACGTTAGTAGTGGGACTACTTCATCTTTAAAACTATTTGCTTACTCATGCATGTAAGCTATCTTTAATTAATAATGTGAATTAGCTATATAGTATAATAATAGTGAATATATATGTAAAATTACATGCCATAACAACTAACTATACGCCCAATTCAAGACACTCTTAGACTGGGAGAAAAATGTCGAAGTATCCAAACCCGAATACGTTATAAAGAGCTTGATTTTTTTTACAATTTTCAACCTATTTTCCTCTAATTAATAGCGAGCTTAAGCAAGCGACGTTTTTGTCAACATGGACGTCAGATTGTCGAGAGGGGACTGGATTAAAAACTGTGTTTGTGTCAGTTTGTGGTAATCTTCAACACATACTGTATGACAAAAGATTTTTAAACTTTCCTGCTTTCTCACACGAGCGCTATGATGCAAAATGGCGCCAAAATTAGTTCTACCAATTTTCAGGTGACGTTCGTGTTGAGAAAAACGTCGCTTCAACTCAATAATACCAAAACGAGACCCACATATAGCCAGACTCCCTGACAGGAATCGAACCTGCTGCCCTATTCACCCATACACCTTACATTGGCACCACCCAAGTGGCACATGAATTTCCGGTTAGAGCTCGACAACTGGACTCTGTAGCTCAGTTGGTTAGAGCTTGACAACTGGACTCTGTAGCTCAGTTATGATGCAAAATGGCGCCAAAATTAGTTCTACCAATTTTCAGGTGACGTTCGTGTTGAGAAAAACGTCGCTTCAACTCAATAATACCAAAACGAGACCCACATATAGCCAGACTCCCTGACAGGAATCGAACCTGCTGCCCTATTCACCCATACACCTTACATTGGCACCACCCAAGTGGCACATGAATTTCCGGTTAGAGCTCGACAACTGGACTCTGTAGCTCAGTTGGTTAGAGCTTGACAACTGGACTCTGTAGCTCAGTTGGTTAGAGCTTGACAACTGGACTCTGTAGCTCAGTTTGGTTAGAGCTTGACAACTTGACTCTGTAGCTGAGTTGGTTAGAGCTCGACAACTGGACTCTGTAGCTCAGTTGGTTAGAGCTCGACAACTGGACTCTGTAGCTCAGTTGGTTAGAGCTTGACAACTGGACTCTGTAGCTCAGTTGAAGAT